TTCGGATGTCTCGGGGGCGAAGGGCCCAATGATTCTCTCAAAATTGTTCGAATGAGATGGCGGGATAGTTGGTTACAGATGCCAGCAGAAGTGGATTCTGGTTCATTCGTCAATGTGAACTCAAAGGCAGAAACTGAGCCATTTGACGGATCAGGAAGACCGCCAGTTTTTGTTCAGAGAGTACGCATTCAGAGATGGCAGAGCTACGCTCCCATCCAGGAAACGGTATTTCGAAGCCATGAAACGGGACTCTTGGTGGCCAGTTCAGAGTATTCTACGGGTCCCCATGAGTGGTACCACGCCGGCCAATATTATCATGAGGATACGAGTATTTCATTAGAAATGTTACCAAAGGCGCCCCACGAATTCCATCGTAAAGCTCAGAAGGGGAGATTGACAAGGACTAAGGAATGGCTAACAAACCATCGAAATTCATCTCGCCTATCGTTCACCTCGCCGATCTCGTCTCGGTCATCAAGGACATCGCCCTCGTCCCCCTTCCCAAGCCCTCCCGGCTCTCCGTTACCATGTCGTGATTCTCATTGTTCCGAGTTGCCTGATTCCACACGTTGCGAACTTGCCGACACCAGCATCGTTATAGAAAACCCAACATCATTGTGTCAAGCCAGCCTTTCTGCGGGCTCCGTCCCCCCCCCAGTACTCAGATTCCGGGGAGGTGAGATCCAATCAGAATGGATTTGAATGTACGGTGCAAGATATCTGCCCAAGTCCGAAGACTGAATGTCAAATATATCAATCCTCCCCTGTATCCAATGCGGATAGTTGTACATCCCCATCCCTAAACAGGGCAACTAATCTTGACAACGGGGATTTACTCAATCAACTAAATCCCCATCCGCTGAAAGAGTCGTTGCCGTTGGTGGTAAATTGTTGTACGTGGGAGATCAATGCGATGCGTGACACCGAAACCCTACTTTCCTATGACCCTCCGAATGATGATTCCACGGAAACTCAACTTCGCGAGAAGGGCCGAATATATGACTCGGTATATCTAGAAAAGAGTAACCATGAGGATCCTCAGAGGATCTCAAACCATGCCAACGGACAAAACGGAGGGTCATATTATGGGAGCGGTGTAAAAAATAATTCGTCTTACCCTTCATCGACTTCTATCTTTGGGAATGGAGAAGATAGGCATGGGAGGGGAGGATACGGTAACTGCGATGACAGCGACAATAACTCCCAGGACGAAGACGATGACGGCGACAACAACCGTAAAAGGAAACGATTCCGGCATCTAAACCCTAGATCCGGTCAACGACAATTCGCATGTGTCTATCATAAGTATGACCCAGAGACGTATCATGGAGACCATGATCGAAAATATTTGACGTGTTCCGGGACCAGCTTCAAATACTTTTCACTGCTCACGTACGTGAAAGGTTTCTCAAAGTTTCCCTTGGAACTTTTTTCACTGTTCGTTCATCATGAATTTCGTGCTAATGAATCGGTAGGAGACATCTTTCTCGGACTCATGATGAGCACGTTTGCAGCAGTTGTTTAGAACCTTTGAGAGTGAAAACCTCCAAGCCAGTCACACTGCAAATTGTTTTGTCAAGCTTCAGTGCTCTCAGGAAGATAAATGGGCCGCTTTGTGGCGAAAGAGGTTCCCAGGGGTGGTTATGCCGGCATCTCCATGTTAGCCTAATTCTCTTTTTGGTTTACTATGTTTTCCTCATATACATGCACAATCCAAGCACAACTCATTCAGGTATTCAGATATAGACTTCTGGCAACAGTACTGATATAGCCTAGATTGGGAACCAACATCTCGATCGATGTTACCCCGGTTGAATACTCACGCGGATGGATTTTTTCAACAGGATTGGGGGATGCTTCAGGATCAGCAAATACATGCGACCCGTCCCCATCCAATTGGGGATCTTCGAAACTCCAACCTCACTGTTGGTGCTGATTCTCAACCGAACCCCAACATAACATCGCTAATGGCAGCGATTGCAATGCTACAATCGACTGTTGAAAGACAGCAGATTCAGCTGGAAGGTCTTGCAAAGCAAGTATCATTTCTGACACAATTACAACTCGGGTGCTTCACCGCCGAAGATGCCTCCAATAAACCCCCAGTTTATCCACTGGTATCGCCCGCCTGCTCCTCCAGTAATTCACCGAATGGCAATATCTCTGAGGATTTATTCGTCTATAGCAATTTCGAGCACCCAGGCGAAACTGCTATTCCTGGTATCAGCTTAGGCCAGCCTACTCCCTCCAGTACTCCAACCGAAGAAGCAACTGGGTACAATAGTATTGCATCCTACGATGGCGGCTTATTCATTCATCCAACATGACATCATACTAGCGGGCTTAGCGGATACCCGGTGGTTCAAACGAAGAGACCGGCACTAGTATCGATCGTTTGATTTACTACTACCACTTCCTAATCCGCATCTGAACGTCGACCTTGGTTGACCTGAAGTATAATCAATTCTGGATTTGAACTTGATATGAGACGGGTACCGGTACGAAGAATAGCTACGTCTTCTTAGTTTATGATAATTACAGGCAATGCATCTTCTTGTTGTTTTTCCATATACATCTTGTTTGACATTATTATCTGTGGATGAGAGTGATGTTGTTGTATGTCAGTCTTGACAGTGGATTTGATCCATATGCACTTATTACTATCGAAAATTGAACGTCAGCTTCAGGGCGGATATATAGCTATCCATAGATGAAATATCTGGGTTCAGTAGTGTGCTTCAATGGCGTACATGGTGCTGTATAACATTTAGTTTTAATTCTATCTCATGGGTCATCTGTCTTTA